CTGAGGTAAGAGGATCATTGCAAGATCAAAACCAATCTGTCGGGGCTGGTAAGATGGCTCAGTGGTCTAAAGCACCTACTTAGAACAAGTTTAGCAAAGCACAGGGACCGCGGTTCAATCCCCCAGCACCACATGCCAGCCAGCCCTGCCCCCTGGTGGGCTGAGCTGGCCACACACACACACACACACACACACAAATAAATAAAAATTAAAAAAAAAAATCTGTCCTACAAAGTGTGCTCAAGGCCACCCTGAACTGCATAGTAAGACTCTGTCTAAAAAGACAAATAAAATAAAATATTCCTCTTTATATTTAGTAGTAGATACCAGCTCAAAACAATGGACAAAACTGGACATGTCAGCATATGCCTGTTATCCCAGTACTCTGGGAGGCTGAGGCAGAAGGAACACAAATTTGAACTCAACCTGGGCAACTTAGTGAGAACTTATTGCAAAATAAAAAATAAACGAGCTAGGTTCATTGTAGAAATCATGGTTCAACCTCCCATATCACACACATATACAAAAAAAACCAACATCCATTTCATCTGCCATGACCCTTCTTGAATAAACAAAATTTAAACTTTCTTCCATTAGAGAGCAGCTGAAATGAATACTTTCTAGTCTATTAAAAACAGTTACTTTTCTCTCTCCTGTTGCTTTTGCTGTCTTCCGTTGCCATGAACTGTTTCCCCCCTGCCATGCTGAAATTTTTACAAACTATAAGATACATAAAACTCCCCCTTTAAAAACAACAAATAGTTGTAATCTGAAGCAAAAAGGTTAATGGAGAACTGTTTTTGTGGGCAGCACTATCAGTGCAATAATAACTAAGGTGGAATAACATCTACTGGGGAATATAAAAATGCTACTATAAGAAGTAAAACTAAAAGTAATACCTTTTTCTAATCTAATCTCTTTTTAATTTTTTAATTTTTTATATTTAGGACAAGGTGTACAGGGTCTCACTGCGTAGATTGTACTCATAGTGATCCACCTATGTTCAGCCTCCCAAGAGCTGGGATTAGTCTCAGTCTCAGCGTGTGGGGGGTGGGGGTTGAAGGTGTGGGGGTGCCACAGCTGGCCTGGGGATCGAACCCCCAGCCCCTGCATCTGCCTAAGCAGGTGCTTTAATCCACTGAGCTATTTGGCTGGCCCTTAGTCTAATTTTTTTTTTTTTTTTTTTTTTTTGGTGGTACTGGGGATTGAACTCAGGCCCTTGCATTGCCAGGCAAGCGCTTATTCTACTGAGCTATCTCCTCAGCCCCTAGTCTAACTCCTAAGCAAAAACAATTATAAGTAGTTTTAAAAACTTAGTATCTTTCATTTTGTTGCCATTTAATCAACCAATCTACAGATCAATGACCAGAATATTTCCTGAAAAGCTATGAGCATAAAACAAAATTAACTTTTATACATACAACAATGAATTTTAAAAGAAATCATATCATTAATCAATTAATAGAGGGCTGGGGAGATAGCTCAGCAGCATAAGCCCCTGCCTGGCAAGTGCAAGGGCCTGAGTTTCATCCTCTGAACAAAAAACTATATATGTGGAAAGAAGCTCAGTTTCTTGCCTGATGATTAAGTTTAATTAATATTATAGAAATTATTTTAAGGTAGTTATACAATGCTTTAAGGAAAAGAATATTTCATATGAAATTCTACGACAACACTAAAAAGAAACTTGAAAACAATATTTGCAAATAATTATTCAACACTTTCTCTTTTTCTAAAGTATAAGGACCATCTCTGTGAACATAATCTTTTCTTCTCTCCCACCTCCTTTTCTCTTTTATGTTTCTTTTTCAAATGTCTCATTGTCACACTGAGTAAACAGATAACCAGGTACAGCTCCTCAGGTTCCTAGACCTCAGCCCTTACTGTGATACCATCTTAATCAAGCAGTCAAATATCTTTTCTTTTTGCAGAACCGAGGATTGAACTTAGGCCTTTGCTGAGCTATCTCCCTGGCCCTAGTCAAATATCTTCTGACAACTCTTTTTATTTTTTAAATATCATGCAATGACAGTTTTAATTTAAATAAACATTTTATTGACTCAAAACCTGTGTACATATTTATAGAATACAGTGCAATAATAATCGGATATATACATATACAATATACAGCAGTGATTAAATTAGGGTAATGAGATATTTCTATTTCCTGAATCATTTCTCTGTGTTGAAAATATTCAAACTGTTCTTTTCTAGTTATTTTGCAATTCCTTTTTTTTAAAAGAAGGTGTTGCCAATGTTTATCTAATCCAGTTCCTCTAAGAGATGGTAAGATAAGTGCCAAATAGTCAATTAAAGGAATTAAAATGCAAGTCCTAAAACTCCATTATAAATGGCTTCTATAAAAGAAAATGGGAAAAACATATTTAATAAAATTTCCTAGTATAAAATGAAAACCTTCTTTCTAAAAAGTCTTAGAAGTGTAAATTACAGAACAGAAATCTCCTACATAAAGGAAACAGTTCTCTAAATAATTTCTCACTGTTAACCATAGTTTTAACCATCCAGAAGCAACAGCTAGGATGAAGTAGACTGTTCAAACTTCATTTCAATGTCTCATTTTAAGCTACGTACAGCCTAGTGACTAAAAGCAGAGGTTTTGTTTGAATCCTGACTCTGCTATTCATCCCTTATGTAGTCTTGATCTCTCTTACATCTCAGTTTCACCATCTGTAGAATGGAACCCAGGTATAGAAACAGTAAGAGTTAAATGATACAGCATTTATGTAGAGTACTTAACAAAATGTCAAGCATACAGCTAGATTTCAAACATGGTAGCTATTATTACTAGCCCCATGTATCTTTCACTGTATATACTGCTGCTTTTATGGTTACCACATGTATTGCAAAAACAGCTTTTCAGGGAGAAATACGCATTTGTAATGTTGACACATATTACCATTAATGATGATAATTAGCAATGATAATTACAAGTGAAAAATTTTTAGGATATCACGTGTTCTACCTCTTTTATATTTTCTACCACCTTTAGCTGAGTATACTCATACTTTGTCAACTAAGAGAAAACAAAAAAAGAAGACATGAACAAATGAACTAATAAAGGAATAGGCAAACCAAGTTGGCAACTATTTTCCAGTCCCTGCTAAAGCTTCATGATCTGAACCAGCAAGTACCACCTGGTTCTGTTCTCCAGAGAGCAGCTATGATCATGCTCAAAGTATTAGATTACACTTCACTAAATTCTAAACTCCATCCTAATAATAAGCAAGGTCATGTCATGAAATCATAACAAATTTAGAAACTAGATACCCCAACTAAAAAAGCTTTATAACTCTAAGCTAGAGTGAGCTCCAAGGCAAGCCTGAACTGCATAGTGAGACCCTGTCTCAAAAAAAGAAAAAAAGCTCTGTAACTCCATAAACCACATATAGATTTTTCAGTCTGTTCCTACCCGAACATGACAGAATGACCATAGAATCTATAAACTTTAAAAAAATAGCCTGTTTCTAAGTACCTATTACATAGAAAGCACTACAAGGAAATACCAATATAAAAGTAAAATTACATAATAATGAAAAATAGAGAAATTCCACTGAGTTCCCCTGAGAGCAGGAAGATTATTTCTAGTACTCTTAAAATTAGGATGCTTATTAAGCTGAGGTATAATAATTCCTGATATGAATGAAAATATGGCTCCCAAAGGATAAAAAATCTGACAAAACTAGGGAACAATTAAGCAATAAAGCATTTATCCAAGGGACAGCATGCTTGAAAGATTCATAGCAACCCAATAGGAAAATGCAACTGAATGGAATAGTAATTCTCTTTGGAAATCAAATGTAAATTCTATTTTTTGGGGGCGGAACCAGGGATTGAACTCAGGCCCTTGCGCTTGCCAGGGAAGCGCTTATTCTACTGAGCCATCTCCCCAGCCCCTCAAATGTAAATTCTAAAAAACCAATGCCAAATAATGTTTCTTTAAACAATATAACAATTTCCCCATGTATTATTTGTAAAACAATACTTATTAGAAAGAAACTACACATATATATGTATATATATATATACACACATACATACATACATATATACATATATATATATATATTCCCCCCCCACCATTTTATGTAGCTGGTACAGGGTCTCACTGTGCAGCTCGGACTTGTAGTGATCCTCCTATTTTCAGCCTTCCCAGAGCTGGGATTACAGGCATGTACCACCATGCCCGGACTCTCATAGGCTCAGCCAGGAGTGGGGCCAACGCAGCATGCAGGACCAGAGATCAAACAAACCCTGGTCCCTGAGCTTACCAAAGTAGGCACTTAGTTGGCTGAGCTATCCTGCTAGCCCCTGAGAAACTACAATTATAGTGAGAAACTTGTAACAATGTGATTGGACTTAAATATAAACTTTTCTATGCCATGGGAAGTGATAAAAAACTTTTTCACTTTCTAACAGTATAGTGTAACACTGTAATTTATAATTAGAACTTCTGGCATGCTATTATTTACAAAGATCTGCTTACTCTACTTTTACATTCTAACACAAAGCACAGTTAGGACCATATCAATTTACCACAGTGCAGTTACTTGGAAAGTATGTTAGCTTTGGACTTTACTTTTGGGAACCATTTAAATTACTTTTAAAATCAGTACATGATAACAGGAAACTATGAAATGCTACATACATTTTAAATTTTATTTCAATTACCTACCTTTAGTTTAGCTCAGAAAATATGAGTACACCTTTTTTTAAGTCCAAAAGATAGGGTCTTGCTATATTGCTTAAGCTGGCTATAAACTCCTGGGCACCAGTGACCCTCTGCCTCACTCAGTCTTCTACCTTGCTGAGACCAAAGGTGCATACCATGGTTTCCAGTTCCTAACTATGGCTTTTAACATATTTTCAAATTTTTCTGGTCATAAGCCTGACTGTATGAAAATCTATAAGAGATATCTGAGAAGATTAACAAGTGGCAAAGAGTCTCCATATACTTAATACCTACATATTTTCTTACTTACTACACAAAATTGGAGAAGAGGGTGTTTGCAAGGTCAAAGTGGAGCCATCTTTCCTTGTGATGTTAACTCGAAAAACCAGTCTGGCTCGAGTGCTTTTCTTCTTGGAACCAGCAATTCCTATTCTGGCTTCAACATCAGCATTCCTCAACTTTAATATCCCTACACAGTCCACCCTAACACAGAAAAAAAAAAAAAATAGCAATTAACATGTTGTTATACAACTATTTCAACAGTCTTAATCAAAAGGTTTTTTTTTTTTTTTTTAATCGTACTTGCTAAACACATCCCTTAAAAATGAGGTATAAGGGCTGGTGGGATGGCTCAGTAGTCTAAAGCACCTACTTAGAGCAGGCTTGGCAGAGCACAGGGACCGTGGTTCAATCCCCCAGCACTACATGCCAGCCAGCCCCGTCCCCAGGTGGGCTGAGCTGGCCACACACACACACACACACACACAAATAAATAAAATAAATTTTAAAAAATATGTAAAAAAAAAAGAGTTTAAAAAATAAAATAAAAGTGAGGTATAAGCCCAGAGAGGTGGTGCATGACTACAGTCCCAGCATTTGGAGACTGAGGCAGGAGGCTCACTAGATGTTTGAGGCCAGCCTTGGCTACACAGTAAGTTCAAGGCCAGCCTAAACTACATAGTAAGACCCTTTCTCAAAAACCTAGAAAATAAAAATAAAACTGAGATGCCCACTCCTTAATATTTTTATTTATTTATTTAAATTTTTTTCCATAATTTTGAGAAATAGTAATGAGACAGTTTCAGATCGAACTGGTAGGACAGTTCCAATAATTAACACATTGCATACTGCCTTCCTAGTGGTTATTTGTTGTACAAGATGCAGACATGATATCCTATTTACAAACACTATTAGAACAAATGCCTCTATTCCTTGAATTAAGAGAGTGTAGCTGTATATTGATCCTAACAATTTAGAATACACAGATACAAGCTGGTCATTCATCTATATCCCTTTTTTTGTTTAGTTCCATCATTTAAATATTATAGGTGTGTGAAATATTTTTATTATAAGTAACTCTCTCTTTTTTTTTTTTTTTTGCGGTACCAGGAGTTGAACTCAGGACCCTGCACTTGCCAGGCAAGTACTTATTCTACTGAGCTACCTCCCCAGCCCTTATAAGTAAGTCTTCCTTTCCTCCTTTACTATATACATTTTTATAATTTATAAAAGTTACAAGTCAAAACAGTAAGTCCTTACCTAATATTTCTCAAAATTTCTCCTTTCCAATTAGCCTCTTTGCCAGCCTATTCAAAATGACTTGCAAAGGGGAACTAAAGACCAAAAAATCAGATCTCTTATATCAATATATTTGCTGCTATCATGATCAATTTTAGGATTAAAATTAGCATCCTTTACAAAAGGCTTAAGGAAAAAATAACTTAAAAAAATTAAATCATTAACACTTTAAGTACTTTTAAACCTGTAAAAAAGTGTTAAAGACCAAAACTACATAGTCTCAAGATGTAATTCTGTTTTATTTTTTCAGACAAGGTCTTGCTATGTGGTAAGCCAGGCTGGAACTATGTAACCCAGCATCGTCTTATACTTGAGGCAATCCTCCTGCCTCAGCCTCCAGAGTGGTGGGTGGGATTACAGGTGTGTACCACCACACTTCAACAGGATGTAATTTTTTTTAATATAGAAAAACAATAAAATCAGATAAATAAGACCAGTAATATACTTTTCACAGATACATGAGACAAGATAACTTGCAGTATCCATTAAAAGTTTCTTTTTTTTTTTGGTTACCAGCTATCAAACTTGGGACCTTGAGCTTGTCAGACAGACAATTATGTCACTAAGCTACATCCCCAGCCCTAAAATAGTTTCTAATGCAAACATTAACAAAGTAGAATTAGAAAAGTAAATCATTAAAAAACAAAAAATTTACAATGGAATATTATGAACTTCAGTAATTTTTTAAAGACCCACCTAGTTAAATTTTTCCTGCTGTCTATCACATTCCTTTAACACAGGGCAAAAGAATTAAATTTAATACACTGTTTATTTCTTTTCTTTTTTTTTTTTGCGGAACCAGGGATTGAACTCAGGCCCTTGCGCTTGCCAGGGAAGCGCTTATTCCACTGAGCCATCTCCCCAGCCCCACACACTGTTTATTTCATAGTAATTAATTTTTTCATTTGTAGTATCTTTATTTCATTTATTTATTTATTTATTTTATTTTGCGGTACCAGGGGCTGAACTCAGGACTTGAGCTTGCCAGGCAAGCTCTTATTCTACTGAGCTATCTCCCCGATCCTCATTTGTAATATTTTTAAATATTTAATGAAACATTCAAAATTTTCTCTTTTACCTTGAGAACTGAAATTTTTCCTGGTTATGACAAAAGTGTAACCTACAATGAAAAATTCTTACAAAGTACTTACGCCAGTGTCATGTTGTTGCTAGGATCAAGGCCAACTTCTATAACAGTAGTGCCTTCAATGTCTACTTCTTTGCAGGGAGTGGTATTTCGTCCAGTTACTCTACAGGCCTGATAAAATCCATGTGGTTTCACTCGACCAGAGTCATTGCCCACAAACACCTGTAACACTACTGGCTCATTATGGCCTTCCAGCTGGAACCAGGTAACATACAGCAGAAACACTAATTACCATTTCAAAGAAATCAACTGCAACATCAAATATTTAAAACAAAACACTATATTTGTAACTGAATTAAAGAAATAATTTAGATCCTCACTAAAAATAGAGATAAGGCATTTTTATAATGGAGAGTTGTCTAAGTTTCTTGAGGGTTTTGTTGTTGTTGTTTGTTTTTTTGTTTTGAGACAGGGTCTGGGTATGTAGTGCAGGCTGGTCTTGAACTTGCTTATGTAGCCCAGGCTGACCTTGAACTCACAGTGGTCCTTCTCCTTAGCCTCCCTGGGATTAAAAACATGTGCCACTATGCCTGGCAAAAAACCTGGTTTTAATTCTGTAGTAATTTTCTTTGATGGTGGTAGGGGGTGTCTTGTATGTAGTCTGGACTGGCCTCAACTCACTATGTAGCCTCAGGCTCGCTTTGAACTTTGCAAGGATCCTCATGCCTCAGCCTTCCAAGTGCTAAGACATGCACCAACATGCCTTGCTTGTGTAGTAATATTTTAAGAAAACTTTCAATGTGAGATAATAAATTCTCATTTAAAATATGTTGTATGAGGGTCAGCCAGATAGCTCGGTGGACTAAAATGCCTACTCAGGCAGAGTGCAGCGACCGGGGATCAATCCCTGGCACGTCCCAGGAGGCACTGAAATGACAAGTGAGACTGGATGCAGTGGCACATGCCTGTAATCCCAGCACTTGGGAAGATGAAAGCAGGAAAATCACTATGAGCCTGATCTACTTAGTGAGACCCCATACTAAATACATACATATA